AAACATCTATTCTTACTTTTGGAGGATATTTATGACTTCTAAATGCTTCCAAAAGTAGTTCAAATAAAGGTAATTAGTGGTCAGGCGAAGATCAATTGAGAACAATTAGTGAAGAACATTTTGGAGCCTATAGTTACTTATTATGAAAGATGTTGTGGTTGATATGGAATTTGCCTCTTGTTGCAGGAGTTTTCTGCAAATTCATATGTTGAAGATGACTCTGTCAGTATATCTTCGGTTGCTGATATATCTAGCTTCATCCCAAAAGTGCCTGCTTACTCGTCTCCTTCGATGTCTCACATTGTCAGCATTGGACAATTACTTGAATCGGTGATTCCCCTCTCCTCTGTGTGCTTATAAGCCTGGCTGAAAAGAACCAAGTGGACGTATATACAAGAAATAAATAGTAGACCCAAGTGTTTGCTCAGAAGCATTAATTGAAAAAGATATCTGAGTACTCAAAATACGAAATTCCTTCCATTTCTCAGCTATTAATCATTTAGTCATATAGAATAATAAAACTACCACGTTCAATTGAGAAGCTTGTTTAGCTTTCTTTATAGTGAGATAATTGATGAATCTCTACATGCATTTACTATTTGCATGCTAAAAGCAATTTTTTTAGGCACTTGAGGTGGCTGGTCAAGTAGCTGGAACATCTGTCTCCACTTCACCACTACCATACAGTGCTATGACCAATCAGTGTGAAAGCCTCGGCATTGACACGAGAAAGAAGCTTTCTAATTGGTTGACCAGTGAAAATCGATGTGCCAAAGCAAGTGATGTTTTTCTTCCGCCCTTTCATGCAGATGGGATGTCAGCAATTGGAAAGGTGAGCTTATATGATTTTTTCCACTAGTAAGTCCTGAAAATATTCTTGGATAAAAATGAAGAATATGAGCTCAGCCTTTCTGATATTTTACTGGGATACTAATTTCATGTTGGGCGACTATGAAGCTGAATCACGTTGTTCATTTATCCCCTCAACTGGGGATCTGCTTGATTCCATATTTGTATTGTTTGGGGCCCCTAATATTCCTAGATATATAAAAGATTTTTAGGGGAACTTTTATGAGACATGGACTAAGAAGAGCGATACATTGTTGTATTCTAATATCTTCATAGTGAAAACTTGCTGGTTAAGTTGAGGGGGCGAAGCTCTCTGACATAGAGGGAGAACCAGTATAAATCTGTATTTTTGCTTTTGCTTGTTTGTTTCTTTTCTTGTTCTTCTAAAATAGGGATTAGGACTTGATTCCTAACACTCCGTAGTATTCATTACGTACCATGTGACCATTGTTTTTGATGGACAAACTATGTTTTTTGCAGATAAGCCGCAACGATCAACCTATTCCTAGTGCTACGGTACCAGCAAGCCCGTGGTTGGCTCTTAGGTTACCTCCAGCGAGCCCTTTCGACAACTTCCTTAGAGCAGCTCGTGGTTAGAGTATTCCGCAGCCAGTATCGTCAAAATCTAATCTTGTAAGTTTTACTTGTTATTTTGGGACAAGCAGTGATTAGGGAGCTTCAGTTGTAGAATTTAGCATTTGTGGTAAAAAAATGCCTGTTTGTATGAATACATTTGACTATCAGTTAGCCGTATCCTATGTTTTGAATTGTCTTTGTAAATGTAGTTCTTGATTGCTGCACATTGTAGTGTTCTACCTTTGTGGTCATCTCTACCTCTTGCAGTTAAACCCTAACTTTTCAGCAAATGTCACAAACGTCATTATTTAGTATTCTTACTTTTCAACGAATATCGTAACCTATTAGGTTACAATTTAGCACAATCATTTGGCATCAACAAATTCTTGTTGGTCGCATCTAGAAATAAATTTCGAGATCAGCCAACTTCAATGATCTTTCAGAAGGCGAGCACTATTGATTAGTTTGAGGTGAACGAAGAAGGTGAGCTGACAGTCTTCAAGTGCCCTCTAAAGATGAGGCAGGCCTTAAAGATAGTTATACGTACGATTGGAATGAAGAGATTCTTGTTTTACAAAGATAGTCGGGACTGGCTAATTCACTTGCTCAGAAGAATAAAGAGCACTCGAACCACTTCAAAGATCTTTATGCAGGATATGTACGAGTGGAAAGAAGAGATTCATGTTTTACAAAGATAGTCGGCCTAGCTAATACACTCGCTTAGAAGAAGAAAGAGCACTCGAGCCACTTCAAAGATCTTTAGGTTCGTGTTTTACAAAGATAGTCGGGCCTAGCTAATTCACTCGCTCGGAAGGAGAAAGAGCATGCGAACCACTTCAAAGATCTTTAGGTATATGTAAGAGTAGAAAGAAGAGATTCTTGTTTTACAAAGATAGTCGGGCTTAGCTAATTCACTCACTCGAAAGTTGAAAGAGCGCTTGAACGACTTCAAAGATCTTCTAGATGCAAGAATTATTTTAGGAGAATGATTGGGACAAGGGCGCAAGGTTGAAGCCTTTGTAATAATTTTATTGTTAATATTGTTATCCTCAATGTGAGAGCTATGTCCTGATATTAATTTATGTTCTATACATTATTAATTTTCATACAAATATTATACACAATGAGTGTCCTAGATATGCACTAATCACTCATTAAAAATTAGGATTATACTGCATGTACAAATTTTTTTTACAGACTCCCTTACTTACTTTTAACAATGGGGGTGGGGACCATAAGTCGACATTTTTTAAATTTACGTGGGATCGGCTAATTTTGTGAGAGTGGTGAGTACACCGTTTTATCAACAAGATTTTGTACAAATATTTTTATCCTAAAAATTATACGTGTGTAACACAAGTAAAGGGACGTGTTGAATTTACTAAAAAATTCAAATTTTTGGATAAGATCGTCGGAATGTAATTTTCCCCCCACTCAAAAATTATTTGATGCACAAGTCCAAGATTCTATTTTTGGATAAGCTCGTCGTAAGTTGCAAAAATTGACCTCCATTTGATGTTACTAGTAAAATTTTTCTGAAGCTTGCATCATAGAGAGAGATTCGTGCAATTGATGACTGCAAAATTATTCGTACAATTAATTTGTTCGTTGTAGAATTTAATATTTAGACTACATTATTTAAATGTCTAAATTGTTGAAGAGAAGAGAAATATATTTATTTATATTTTTTCTCTACCTTTACCTGTATGCCAAATTTATTTACGACATTTAATGACATTAGGGTCGCAGACTTCAAAACTTGTGGGGTGTACTAGGTAGAAAATGGAGGTCTCTTAGATAGACTTTACGATCCCATTATATAATCTACTACTCCTTTGAACTAAATCGTTTAAAAGTTTAAAGAAGTCTAGATTCTGTTAGACGATACAACATTATCGTTCGAACATATGCGGATCGTACTTGTAATGGTTTTCGAGGATCCCATATCACCACCTAGATTTATTCTTTCACGATATTTTTCTACGAGTATTGTTATTCATAGTCAGCGATTGTAGTAGTGAGTAGTGATGTAACATGAAAATTCCTACATGACATAATATGAGAATTGATTCATGATTATTTACTAGTTACAAAATAAGATTGCTTCTCAACATAATATGTTATATAGGATGACTACCGCAATCTTTGACTATGAATAATACCATTAATTTTCTATCGAAGTGAGCGGTGACAAACTTGACCCGTACCTTTCTTGTGTCAAGTTATAAGGTGAAAATTTGAAGAAAACAGTTTGAACAAGCCCTATATCTTTACGTGAATTTTGAGTAAGCCTTAATCAAGAACATTAGATAATCACCAAAATGAAAATCAGTTAAGGATTATAACATGGTAAAACTGTATCTACATTCTACCCAAATTCCCATGTTAGTTATGTGATCTAAACAAGTAGCTCGCCTGTTGACTTTTTACCATTTGCAAATCAATGAAATAATAGCCAATTATTTCAAAGCACAAGGAATATAAGTAAAAATGATACACAACATTAATGCATATCAAAATATAACATTGAAAATTAAGGTTTAAAATTAGGTTACAATCGTTCATCCCAACTAATTGTTTCGCTACCCACCACGAAGGAAGAAAACACAAAAATATATTGGAATACATCGCTAGATTTTAAGGAAAAATGAGAAAAAAATAAAAATTCGGCACCAAGAATGTGCCTCCTTCACATCAAGTTCTTGAAACCCTAGCTTTTTTGCGCTCTATCTTCTTGCATCTCTATTTCTCTAGTGTCTATTCCCCTTTTTCTTCTATTGCATTCCCCTTTGTGCATCCCCGTAAGAATTTGATATTGTTTGGTATGAAATTCCTCTCTATGGTCTTCTATTATGTACTATGAAATCCGCCTTAATTTGACCTAAAATAGGTCTATATATATACATTGCTTGAATCCATCTTGGAAGTCATCCTCTCGAAAGGACCAAAATACTAACACACAAAAAACAAAATCATGGACGGACTGCGGGTCGACTGTGGTAAGCAAACAACGGCCAAACTCACAGCAAACAGCTCTTCGTCTCGACTGCTATCGACCACGGTTTGCAAATTGCTTCTTCTGAGCAATCTATAACTTCAAAATATATTGTACAAATTGGACTAATTTTGTTCTTTAAACAGATGCAATCTTTATAATATGGGAGAACTAAGGTTTTTATCTTGAGTGAAAACAATCTATCTGCGAACATTACGCAACTAAGTATTCACTTATGTATATGAATAACTAGATAAATCCGACAAATAATTCATGTACTTGTTAAACACAAGAATCATCTAGGGAGAAGAACCTAATAATTGAGTATTCCACACATTTTTTGAAAGCCAATCCAAGAAACAAAGTTTTTATAATTACTTCTTTTTCTTTTTTTCTTTTCTTTTTCCTCCAGAAAACTAACTAATCTAGACAAGTTTAAACACAATCAAACATGCTTGTGAAAATATCGGGGGTCTTAACATTTGATACAGAATGAGGAACATGTAGAAGATATATGGTAAAAAAATAAATTACTTAAAATTTCTAAACATTTAAAACATCGATCAATTAGTAAAGGAACTTAAAAACCAATGGTAAAGAGGTATGTTATTAATTTCTTGAAAGTAACGCAAACCACACCAAAATGGAGACATTCTGCAAGTGTCTCCAATGCATAAACATAACTGAAAACATAAAAATAATTCAGATTATTTGCTGGAAATCACCCCAGTCAGAAACAATGTAGAGAGAGAGGATTGTTCAAGACAGATGATCTTCCATAGCCAATTCCTCAATCATGTTCATCTGATTGAGGGGATTGAAGGCTTGAATCTCAGCGCATTTGCATGAAATCATCAAGGATCCGTTAATAAACCCGTGATCAATCGAATGTGTAGGCAAATCCAGAGACTTGCGAGCAATGACAACAGAATTAATAACCTCGTCTGTCGGATGGAACACTGTAAGAACCTCAAATCCTCGGAGATCACAAGGATCCACCACCGGATAAAGAAAAGCGCGCGCCCCATGGGCACTTCTCAGCATCAGCAGCGCCCCCGGCTTCATGTACTTGACCAAATGCTCAATGACTCCAATTTTTTCCTCCTTGTCCATTCCTACAAGTGCTGCCAAAAACACGACGTCATAGTCCTTAAACGCATCTGTCACACTCATAACATCAGTAGTGTGGAATAACATCCTTTTCGACAGATCAGGATCGGATTCCACGAGGCGGGACGCCATGGAATTGGCCGATGGATCAATATCATAGTTGTGGAAAGTAGTCGAAGTCATGTGATAAGAAGCCAAGACAATTGAGGTAAGAGGGAGAGGACCTGATCCTAGGAATGCCACGCGGCTCGGGACATCCGAGCAGTGTTGGCTAAGGATGTTATACTCGAGACGACTCAACTTTAGGTAATTCGAGAAATAGGGAAAAATTTCAAGATGGTCAAGTGGGTTGTCAAAAGAACCTAAGATCGTCGAAAAATGTTTCTCCAGCAGCCCTTCAGCTTCCCCACACAGTCTAATGAGATTAGACCTCATTTCTTGAATTTTCTCACATAATTTGGTGACATCAATTGGATATGGTGGCATGCACGTGAGAACAAGATGTGTAAACAGCGTGTCGACATCTTTGGAGGGTTTAAGGCTGTCGAGTCTTGAGATTTTCTCGCACAAATCACTCACTTTCTGCACCAAGGGATCCTTCAGACAAACCATGTCGACACTATGAAGTTATTAGGTTTCAAGAATCCTCCCTCTCTCTCTAGAAAAATAGAGTAAATTGTTGAAAGCACACTCTGTTTCTTGGGATGAGAGAGCTGTTGCTCTCCACAGGATGCTATTTAACGGCGCTTGTGGGACCCTAAAAGGAGGCTGAAACTTGCAGCAATATTATTCATCAGCGCATTCATTATTTATTGATTAAAATTTGTTTTCTCGCCGGTTAACAACTTCCTCATTAAGAAGTTTTGTACAGCCAGGCATTTTGACGCCCTAATAATTTGTAGCGTCATCAATCTTAATTCCTTCAAAGCTTTTTAATTTTGACTTTCCTCTTAATTTATATTCTTAAGTTATGCTTGTACTTTTATCACAAATTAGTAGAATCTATAAGAGGAAAATATTCGAAAAATATATTTATATGTACTTATTATCTTCAATAATTGTTTCTAGATTTATTTTTTCATCAAATTAAGGTCAAACAAGTGGATTTTTCATGGTTGTGCTACTTGAAGTCTAGAGATTTTCTAATCATGCTATCACATCGAACCATCTTGTATAAAGATTATAAGTTTTCAAGAGAGGAAATTTAGTTTAGTTTCATTTCAAGTCAACATATAACCTCACACAAACACCACCCAATTTATTTTTTAATTAATTGTTTAAGTCTTGAAATCTATATAAATAGGTGATGGTAAAACTTGAATACATAAATAACATTTTGATTTGGATATTGACATTGCAAGGTTTTGAAGACTCGTTTCTCAAACTCGCCTCCAACTCTAAATTCAAATTCTTATGAGGAACAAAGAAAAAACCAAAGAAAGAAAATAATTGTTAATTAATTGTCTCTGGTGAAGATTTCTTGCTTAGAGTGTAGTTCCCACCAAATGTGAAAACGAGACAACAATAAATGGCATGAAGCATGCATGCATCAAGAATCTATTATACAGACCAAATATGCAACATACTTTCACACGGACTTTTCCAATGATTGGAAGTCAAAACAATTTAATTATAAGTATCTCTGTTTTTTTTCTTTTCCATTTATTTTAACATATCATATTCTCTAAATTTTTATGCTTTCACATGGTTCGGATTGTAATAAAATTAACTCAATTTCTTTAGAACTACACGCAACATGCTGGATTATTCATGAAGTAAACTATGCTCCGGTTGATTTAGACTAAAAAAAATCAGATTTTAGTAAATTTTGATAAAAATTGAAATGCTTTGTTGAAAAGTTTTGAATTCCATGAAATGTGTAATTAAAATGGTTTTTTAATTTATATTTTAATCTAACTTTTTCTGGAATATATAGAATTTCCATTGATGTTGATATGATATAAGCATCCTTGGATTCACACTTGTTTGACTATTGAATATGATTAATGCTATTTTGTCATTATTTTATGCTAAAAATATTATTTGCGTTCAAGAATTTGTAACGTAGCGGAAGCTTATAGAAAAGAACAAAAAATTCACGTAAAAGAATGACGAAAATTAAAAGCACTAATCTTCACAATCAATTCTCAACAATGGAATTGAATTCCAAATTCATTCGCTAAAACAAAATTATACCAAAACCGAAAAACGTGTTTTTGGAGGTCTACACAATGGAAATTGATCGAAAATAATCGTACATCGAGGACACTCCCAAAAAATTTTTAGTTTAAACTGATCCCCCTTCCTTTTTTTTTTTTTTATGAAATCTTCTCCTTTCTATACCGCATCAATTTGGCAATCCACTAATTATCTAAGACAAATGACTAACAACGGAGATCAAGTCCTATCATATGTTAGGTTGGTGACTGAAATTACGAGTCCCTAGATATGCGTAATTTTACTTGGCTTGGAAAGAAATCTATTTGTGTCCAAGTTAAACAAGGAAATGTAAGGATTTTTTCCTTTACACAATTGTAACCTAATTTTTATAGAATTTCTTATTAGGACTCTTCTAGGATTTTTATACATGACCTATAAATATAAGGCTTCTCTGTCAGTTTAGTCGAAACTATTATTGCTGTCATGTTATAATTCTTTCTATGTTGTCAGTTTATAATACATCGTTCCTCTGCGATTAAATTTCTTTGTTTATTTCTTTACTTTCAATCTTGTTTCTTGTTGTGATCTTTATTACTTCATATTGTGTCAATAATCACATTCATTACAATTCCTCCGGGTCCAACAAGTGGTATCATTGCGCATCTCCAAGGTTAAAATTGTAACATAATTTTGACAGAATTTATTATCTATTAGGACTTTCCTAGGGTTTTTATACGTGGTCTATGAATATAAGGCACTTTCGTTAGTTTAGTTGAAGCTGTTATTGCTGTCCTGTTGTAATTCTTTCCATATTGTCAATTTATATTACATCATTCCTCTGCGATTAATTCTCTCTGTTTATTTTTTTACTTTTAATCTTGTTTCCTCGTTGTGATTTTCATTACTTCATATTGTGTCATTAATCTCATTCATTACAATCCCTTCGAGTTCAATAAGTGGTATCAGAGTTTGGTTCTTCTTTTATGGATTGGTTGAGATTTTTCAGAGATGGCTACCCAGAAATATGACATTTCGCTGATAGATCGCAATATAAGATTTTCTCTGTGACATGTAAAGATGAGAGCTATTTTGGCACAATTCGATTTAGATGATGCTTTGCTGGGTTATGAGAATATGCCAGCAGATTGGACAACGAAGGAGAAACAATGGAGAGATTGGAAGCTCTATCGCAGATCTACCTTCATTTATCCAATAATATTCTATAGGATGTTTTGAAGGAGAAGACGACAGTTGTCGCTTTGTGGTTGAAATTGGAGCAGGTATGTATGACTAAAAGTCTTATCAGTAAACTGGCTCTAAAGTAGAAGCTCTATTCCCATCGCATGGTGGAAGGAGGGTTGTTGGAAGACCATATTGTCGGGATCTGGTCTTGATTCTGTTGTGTTTGTTGCCTGGCTCTTATGCGTCGTTTCGAGACACCATCTTGTACAGTCGAGGTACTTTGACTATAGACGATGTTTATGATGATTTGCATTCGAATGAGAAGTTAAATCATTTTGTTGAAACTACATCGATGGACGAGGAAGCTTTTGTATCTCATGGTGGTCAACGGAGGGGCATATTGAAGGTTGACAATAATTTGTTTTGCTTTAACTGCAGACGGAAGGGACATATCGGAAGGATTTCGGTAAGTTGCAGGCTAAAGATGATTTAGCTGCAAATCAAATAGCGCAACCTTTGACTTCAAACGAAACAAATGTTGTTGAGGATTTTTCAGACGACGGAGATGAGATGTTGACCATGACATCTGATGTCGAATTTAGGCTTGATGACGAGTGGGTTCTCGACTCGAAATTTTTGCATTATATGTGTTTCAATAGAAATTTCTTTCAGATATATGAGACTGTACAGCAGGGTGGAGATGTAATGGGAAACAACCAATCTTGTCACATTGTTGGGATCGATCGAGTCAGATTGAGGCTATGGGATAGGACATTCAGAACAATTGTGCAGGTTCGACATGTTTTTTACCTTAAAAGGAATCTTATCTTGCTGATTGCCTTAGATGCAAAATGTTATAAATTCTCTTATGGAGGTGGACCCTTGAGGGTCTAAAAGGGTGTTCGGGTTGTAATTGAGGGACGGAGATGGTCTCAGTTATACATATTGTAGGGAAGCGCAAAACCAGTTAAGAGATATTTGGGCAATTTTAGTATCGTGGCGAATATTTAGTTTGGTACAATACCTCTTGTGAGGGCTCTGGGTTGGTTCAAAACATTGTTCAAGGAAGCGTTGGTGATTCCGCTTTACCACCAACATCAGCAGTTGCACTGTGTTCAAATGATAGGGTTGGACCATGGAGCGTAGGTATAGTGTTGTCGGCAATGTTGTGATGCTTTCAGGATCTTTGAAGGTGATAGTTTTGGCAAGGGACTCTTGTGCGATTTCTGTTATAGGGTGTGCTTTGACCCTGTTTGGTAAACAGTAATTCCTTGGTGGAATTTTGGAAATTCGGGAGTAGGGTTCAGGTGTCACTTGTGGACGCCGTGCAAAGGACGATGGTTTATATGGAGAATTTTGGTTACTGCATTGAGGAGATTGACTAGTTCATTTCAATGCAGACGGGTTTATTTCTCAGGTGGAGAAATTTTGTAGAGCTCTGCTGGTTGTACCGAAATTTGAGTCAAGATACCCCCCATTCCCCAAAATTCCACAAAGGAATTAATGTTTACCAAACAGGGTTGAAGCACACCTTGAAGCAGAAACCATACAAAATGAGTGAACAGAAGGCCCATTGCTAGAACTGTCACCTTCAACATCCCCAAAAGCATTACAGACATCACTGACACCAGGGTACCTATACTCAATCGATCAAACCCTAACAACTGAACATAGTGCAATCGCTGAAATTGGTGGTAAAGTGGATCACCAACGCTCCCTTGAGTAATGCTCTGAACCAACCTAGAGCCCGTCACAAGAGATACTGTACCAAATTGAATATTCATCACGGTACTGACTTGTCCAGATGTCTCTTAACTAGTTCTGCGTTTCCTTGCGAGATGTACAATTGAGACCTTCTCCGTCCCTCTAGTACAACCCGAACATCCTTTCGAACCTTCAAGATTCCACCTCCACCAGAGAATTTACACCATTTTGTATCCAGAGTACTAAGCGAGATGGGATTCATTTTTAGGTTTGGAACATGTCGAACCTGATCAATCGTTCTAACTGTATCATCCTGTAGTTTAAATTTGACTCGAGTGATCCCAACAATACGGTAAGATTGGTTGTTTCCCATTACAACTCCACCTTGCTGAACAGTTTCATATGTTTGAAAGAAATTTCAATTGGAACACATATGATGTGAACATGCCAAATCAAGAATCTACTCGTCGTCAAGCTTAGATTATACGTCAGATACCACAATCAACATCACATCTCCGCCGTCTGAAAAATCCTCAACTACATTTATTTCATTTAAATTCAAAGGTTGCGCTTCATGATTTACAGCTAAATCACCTTTAACCTGCAACTTATCGTAATCCTTCCAAATATGTCCCTTACGTCTGTAGTAGAAGCAAAACAGATTGATGTTATT